TCCTCCTCAGTTTTCGCGACAAAATTGTTGGAGTAGATCTTACGCTTCAGGTTGGCCCATAAATTCTCGATGGGACGCAGCTGGGGGACGTTGGGCGGGTTCGCCGACTTGGGTAACACATCGATATTCAGCCGCTCCATCTCCTCCAACGATCGCTTCGAGTAGTGGGCCGACGCCAGATCCGGCCAGATCCGGCCAGAACACCGCGTCTTCGCCCTTATGGTATTTCTTGATGAACGATGCAACTTCCGGCAGGCTTTTCGTACTATAAATTTCCCCTTTCACGGCCAGTCCGGAGCAAAAGAAGAGCGGCTTTGACATCACCTTCTCGCTGATTGTCAGTCACAGCAGCACCTTCTTGGGGAACTTGGTGTGTGAAATGAACTTCACCTCGAAGCTTACTTCCTTCGTGGGGGAAGTAAAATACGAAGTGCCCTGCCAGTCGTTGTCATCCAGGGTGAGATAGGTCTCGTCGTCCATCATCACCGCCACGTCGTGATTCGCCGGGAAAAACAAGTTGACCATCTTATTCAGCAGCTGCCGCTGCGTCATTGCCTGCAGCTCCAAAACCAGTGGACGTGACTTTCACTTCCTGACATGTATGTTGATGTCCGCCAGGTACTTTTTCACTGTTTGGCTGGTTGCACCGACCTCCCGGTCAAGCCACTTTTCCCTCAGTCTTCCTCTTCAACATCCTTTGGAGCTTCTTGTCGCTCAGGGTCGTCGGCCGTCCGGAACCGGGCTTTCTTTCGATGCTCTGATTGTTGTCTAATAGTGCCAAGATGTTGTAGATGCCGGAACGGGCATATCCGGCGTCCACAAAGTGCCGCACGATATCCGTTTTCGACGCGGCGGGGTGCCGTTCTTTGAACGCGCACACTTCTGAACGGAGTTGCTTCACTGTTTTTGCCATCACGGCTAGAGTTCGACTGATAGAGCTGTCAAATTTTGTCTGCTGACTCATTGGTTACTATGATTGATGCTGCATGGGTAGTTTTGTCAGTGTGGGTGAAGGTAAACCCATGAAAAATCGACAATTTTTGTCAATTTTTTTTAAATGCAAAAGTTATTCTCGTCGGTTTTCCCTCACAGCTGCAAATACATACTACTTCAACACGGTATTTATCACTTTCATTCCTGAACACCTGAATTTTCTGGTTCTGAAGCTATCCAAGGAAATTTTCATAAAATGATCCAGGAATGTTTCTGAAAAAGGATTACGATATGCTCACTAATTAACTGTTTTGTTAGAGTTCTACACACTAAGAAATACTTAATCTTACACGTGAAGGAGTCTATCTTTGACATAAAGGATGAGACGTAAACAAACATGTCATGTAAAATTAAATACTCCGAGACTGAAAAGTTCGACAGTACGTTTGATTGAGCTGAATTTTGCGTCTATTATGACTCAATTTTATGTCAAAATTGACGCTCGTATATGTCAGTCTTAGAGCACCTAAATTTACATCAATTTTTCTAAGTGTGTACATACTGGGATGTAAAATGTATCTGTATTTTTTTTTTCTAATAGTGTAGGTCCACTTTGATCCATCTACATAGAGAATACTGGCGGAAGCCTTCGCTGAGCCAGCCTGTTTCTTTCTTGCCTCTTTATTCCTTGACTTCTTATTATCGGTGCCAAATTGAGCAGACACATCACTTCCCTTTCCAGGAACTGAACTTCTGCGGCTGCTTAGCACACAACGGCCCATATAGCTCATGGAGAGGATCCCTACACTAATAAAATTCTACACATTTTTATTGACGAAATTCCACATGATGATCATGTGACCACACATAAACAGAATCCACCCAGAAGCACACATGAAATTTATGAGTCAAATGAATAGTATGTGTGGTTACACATGGCTTTTATGTGTACACATAAATTTCATTTGTTGATCACATTGCAAAAATTCATGTGTGGGACACATAAAAACAATCTTTGAAATTTTATCAGTGTACGTTTAGCTGCTGCTTCGACTAGTGGTGAGCCATACGGCGCATATCTTCAGCAATTTTACCTATTGATTAGATCTTTAGGTTTGTTAGAAACTGCCGGCATAAATTCTGGACTTTTAATATATGATTGATGTGGAGATTTATTTGACCATACTCCAGCTTCAACTGTTTCCAAAAGTACGTCAAAAAGTTGAGTTTATATATTGTATTTAATATTTTTCAAATTAGCAGCACTTTTGACAATACTTACATCATCCCATGTCTCTTCTACCATTTTAAAAACGGCACCAAACTTGGTACATCTCTATCAACTTTTAAAACTCTTAGATTAATTACTGTTTCACCGTTTACGATGATACGACGGATATTTTCATTTTAATTAAACAATTAGCAACGGGCGAAGCAACGGGTAAATCTATTAGAAAAACGTCAACGCACAACAGTTTTGCCGTTTTATATAATATTTTTCGTGTCATACGTATCAACGTGTGCCTTAACGTGCCGATCACTGTGCAATACTGTTCTTCGGCACAGTGTGCAGAGTTGATTCCCTCTTGAGTGCTGCGTAATGTGAGGATTTTCCTGGCTGATGAATGATTTTTCATTGATTAGTTAATTTAAAATGATTATGATTAATGAATAATTAATCAATTATGTGAGGCAAATGCTTAAGATTATGAGTGATTATGAGTAATCATTAATCGTTATCATTAATCATTATTCATGATTCATTTAATGATTAATCAGTAATGCTCTGATTAAGATTAGGTTGAACAACAAGAAATCCTGACATGAAAATATTGTGGGATTTAAAAATGCGTTTTATTTTTCATAGTTCAAGTTACAACTATACATTAGTAGGTATTATGCATATTGTAAGACCATTGTTTCAGTCTTCCTTCTTACCATAGGCAATTGCTCGAACTTTTCGTCGTACAAGGCCCTTCAACTTTTGCACGTGCCTTGTTCCCACTTTTTTGGCTACCAATTTAAATTGCCGCTTGACATTCTTCAGGTTAATTGTAGTTCCACCCCTTTTCTTCAGTATGAGCTTCACAATTCCTCAATTGGACTTAGTTCCGGAATATTGGCCTGGTGCATCTCCTTGGGAGCCACTCTGACGCCATTTTCGCTGTACCACTGTTTGGTGGAATTCGAGTAGTGACAGCTTGCCAAGTCCAACCAAAATAGGCAATCCAACTCATGCTGTTCCTAAAAAGGCAGTAGACTCTTCCGTAGGAACTCCTCCTGGTAAATTTGCTGGTTCATGGTCCCAAAAGTAACGAAAGTTTCACTTTTTAGCCCACAACTGCAGATTGTTTGCCAGACAATGAACTTTTTGGGGAATGTCGGCTTCTTTTTGATTTCACATTCTTCCGGGCACTCTTCCGGTCAACCGAGGTAAAAAATTACTACAAAGGAATTTGATCGAAAACTTAATCATAAATCATGATTAATTTTATGATTAATCACTAACACTCTGATGTAGGCACTGCTGTCACTCTAGGCCACACAGTAGTCGAAATAAATTTATTTTATATCTTGTTCCGCATATTTTACTATGAAAGTAAGTTTTCAATATGCTCCCTTTTAAATTTCATACAGTTACAGTGATTTCTTCTCATTAGCGATCTTGTACACAGCATAAAAATATTTTAACAGAGCGATCGCAATATCCTGGAACGCACCAAAATACGAATGTAAGGACGCAACAAACGGAAGTCATACAAATATGATAAGCTAGTTAGCAGTGTGGTGGTGTAGTGTTCAGCGTGACTGCCTCTCACTCCAAAGGACCCAGGTTCAATCCCAGTCGGCGCCGTCGGGATTTTCAGAAGCTTAACATCTCTCATCCGGGAAGTAAAGCCGTTGGTCCTCGGTCCATGAGTTGATGGATCAATTGGTACGATCCATGCGTGGGAGCTGCCCCCCAGACGTCGGTAGCATCCCAAGTAACATTGCAAGTTTTATCGTGGTTTAAAAGCATTCTACAAGTATATATCATGGTCTACAGAACTCTCATAAAACCACAATTCTTACTTGGGATTGGTACTCAGTATGAAAAACAAGATCAACGGAAATCAAATCAAGGAAATAAAATGATAAGGTAAATAACATTTATGTTCTCAATTCCATCTAATTGCAATACATATACTGCCCAAATAACATGTTTTTCTTTTCGTGACGTTTAGAAGTATATTATATTTTTGATGTGTAGTCGACGTTCAAGTGATTTTAAATCAATAATAAAAAAGTTGAACATCGTGTATCTTTCTGGAAGTTCTATTCGCAGTTCAAGTTTAACGCAAAATTGAATCGGCTGAACCTGAATAATAGAAGCCAATGTCCAAATTCTACGTGGACAAAATTTAATAAACGTAAGACTCCCGCTTCTCTCTCCCTGGAGGACAATCATTCTTTTTTTTTTTATTAATATAGACAGTGGACATTCGCCAGCCCTTTTTTCTCTACACTATTTACGTGATATATTGACAGCCTCATACTGTTTACATGTAAGAAAACTATCGACCTATCAACTCATGGACCGGGGACCAACGGCTTCGCTTGGTGTAGTGGCAAGCGTGACTACCTTTCACTCAAAAAGGCCTGGATTCAACCCCAGTCGGCGCCGTCGGGATTTTCTGAGGCATAAAATCTCTGATCACGCCTTCCTTCGGAAGTAAAGCCGTTGGTCCCGGGCCATAAATTGATGCGTCGATAAGAAAGGTCCAGGTGCGGAACAATGATTTAATTTACTCATTGGCTGAGATAGTAGAACAACTCAAAATAGGGAATCCATCCCCACTTCCCTTATTATAATTATCAAAATCGAACAAGACTGCTCACTTCTATTCTCTTATTCTTCATCATTTTGAATGATTGAAGTAGCTTTTGGTGATATTCGTGTGAATAATTCACTCTCAGAGAGAGAACAACATTCATTTAAACGTAATTTAATTGATTCGTTTGGTTATTAATATACGGTGAAAATGTATTTCTTTCATTATCAAACAACATCAGTTTTTCCAGGCGAATTAATATTTTAATTCATATTTGCGCTTAAAATATAACGAAGCTATTCCACACATTTAGGCATGATGGAACGGGGTTAGCTGAGGCTTATGTACACAGACGGGAGAAATATTCATAAAATTCGCTAACTCATAACAGTCATCTCTGGTACTAAAAATTAACATTGGTATCGTTGCTGCAAAAGGCATTCACACCTCTACGAGTTCTTGCTGCTGTTGCTGCTGCTGCTGCTGCTGTTTGATGCTATTTTGGTCTTCGGTAACTACCACGGGAGTTAGTGTTGAAACATGTATTGCAATAGGTCACGCATTCCATCAATCCATCCTGACAAGAAGAACAAAACATCATCAAATGCACCATCCATCGCAAAACACACAATCGCATCCCCAAGCCATCGTTGATATTTCAATTACCATAAACAACAATTTTTGCACACCCCTCCCTCCCGTCATTCAGCAAGAAATTTATTCCAAACGGAACTTGTCATGTATCGGCGCATCAAACATACACCGTTACATTGTTTTCTAGTCAAATTAACTGATTTGACATCAAACATGACGGGTTACGCGAAGTTACAACCTGCCAAAGCCGGCGAAAAACGGAAAGACGCTTCCAGCCAAATCAATTTGCATTTTAATAGCTTGTTTCTTAGTTCGAGATTGCATCTTTGTTTCGTTTGTTTTTCGTTTCTGATATTGAGCTTAGTTTTTCTTATGACGGATTCAATTTGATTGAAGTTTTCCAATTGGCTGATTGTGTGGATTCTTGGAGCGTTGATCGGTTTAGATCAAGGTTTCTTACCTGCTGTTTTATTTGTTTTTTTTTTTGCATTTAGACGTATGATTTGGTGGAACATCTATCCGAAACGGTTAAAGTTCTGGTTGGTACCGAACGCTGGCTGGCTGTAGGCTTGGCTGAATTTCTGCGAGACCGGTTGAGTTGCTGCAATCAGCGCCAGAGATTTCTGAATGGCCTCAGGGATCGGCGGTGGCGTAGGAAGATGGGCGCCTTCTGCCCTGAAGCCTTCGTTCGAAGAAAGAGGGTTGATCAATCAAAGCGAAATACAATTGGCAGTTACCAGGGGCTTACCATTTTCATCGGCAATGTATGTCACCGTTATTAGCTGTCCCTCGGGTGAGGTGTACGAGTACGAACCTTGCACGGCTTGGGCCTCCAGGTCTTTCAGGCCGGGGTTTTTCAGGTAGCCTTGAGCTTGCTGCTGCTGACCGTCACCTGTCGTGTAGCCGTACGAATAGGAACCATCGAACGAAACGTCATTGTTGTAGGACGTGATGGGGACGAAGGGCCTCGGTGGGCTGGGGAAGGGTTGCTGTTGAAAGATTCAAAATGATGAGGGATTTAAGTTTCTAGATGAAGTTGAATTTAGAACTTGTAAAAACTTCACGGTTTGACAGTATTTTTGAGGAATCATTTACGTGAGGGAATGAAAATTGTTCTTATTGTTTAAATAAATCATAATAGCTATTTATGCAACAATTTGCAAAGTAGTTTCAGCACGAGTCTTTGCTTATCCAACGAGGCTTGCCAAATTATATGATTACGACGAGTGCTGAAAAAAATGAATTTTGCAACGAGTTTCATACAGCACTTTTAGCACTCAAAAGAGTTTCGAAAAGTAGAACTTTTCGGCACTGGGTGCTGAAAAGTAATATTTTCGACACAGTTATTTCAGTAAAAAAAAAGTAGACTTGCCCTGAAAAAGGCCGATTTGTTGCCAAAGTTGGTGATGATTTAACCTCCAAAACCGTACAGAGTGCGGCTGTCACTTCAAAGCGTTGACGAAATCCATGCTCCCTTACGCTGGGCGTATTCAGAGTAGGTGACAGCATCACGGATCACATTTTCCACCTTCAGCACACCTCCTGTCTTCTTGTAGATACGTTTGACACCGCCACGGCGAGCCAAAGGAAAGATGGCGGTTATCACGAAGAACCTTGCGATAGCGCGTGGTGCCTCCTTTATCAAGAACTTTTCCTGCTATTGCTGCTTCTGCTGCCTGCTCACCACGCCGTCCGAAGCGAAAATGAGTTGAGGCTAGACAGCAGCGCTCTTTTATATCTTATCAGGTTAAAGCAGAATGATGTACAACTAAGTGGTACTCGATTATGACGACTGGGTTTGGGAAGAACGTTTATTGTATGAAAAAAGTGAAAAAAATATCACATTTTATTTGTACATTGGACAATGCTTGACATTACCACTTTTTGAATAGTTTCTTGTTGAAAATCATCAATCGTATTTTCGGTTTTCACAAAGTGTACTCCCATATAAAAATCACAGACGTAGTCCTACGTCAAAAAATCTTTGTACGTCCTTGAGTTTCTCTGGACTTCACTAAAGATTCCTCAATTTTCCTATTGATCATGGATATTATTTACTACAATTCTACAAAGCTCCTCAAGCTTTAACAATTTCCCTGAATTTCTTGAAACTTCTTCAAAATTATTGTATTTTCCATGATGTGCCCTGTAGTTTTCGGATCTTCCTTGCAATACTTGGAACTTCTCTAAAATTCTTCCTGTTCTCCTGAAGCTCATGGTACTACCCTGAATGTAATAGAACCATAATCCTAAGAATTCCTTATCATTCCTGAAAATCCCTGAACTTCTGCGAGCATCTCAAAAAATTTCAGAACTTTTCAAATCATCTCTGAAGTTACATATATTTCTTGAAAATTTGGGAATCGCTCTAAATATTCCACATTTTTTTCTGAAATTAATCGAACTACAATGATCTTCCCTGAGGTTGCCCCAAATATTGAAACTGCCCTGAAGCTTACGGTAGTTTATTTAAATTGCTCCCGCATTTTCCTAATGTTCATTCCAGATGTTCTCGGAGTTTCCCTGAAGTTCTCGGATATTCCATAACGTTTACTGAACTTCTATGAAATTACCGGAGTATTCTTGAAGTTTTGTGAACTTCTGTGAAGTACTCAAGTTTTTCTAAGAATTGATAACTTCCTAGGAGTAATGTGGAGTCCCTGAAATCTCTGGAACATTTCAAAGGATCCCACTATTTTTCTGAAGTACGAACGAAATAATTACTTCAATGAAATTCTCTAAATTATTCAGAAGCTAATGAAAATGCCCTTCAATTATCGGGGCAGTTGAAAAATGAAACTGCCCCCAAAATTCTAGAGTATCCTGATGTTTAACGTGCTTTCCTTATGTTAAAAGAACTGCATAAAAGATCTCCGAAATTCTCTAAACACTCTAGACTTTCCTTTTATTTATTATTTAATTACTTTTTGCAAATTTTCCGTTATTTTCATTAGGATTTGAAAACTTTTGTGAAACTCTCAGAAATTTCCATAAAATTTCTTATTTTACCAACTTTTCTGATATTTATGAAACATTTTTTTTAATTTTGTTTCTGAAGTTTTCGGAACATTCCAGAAAATTTTAGGAATAGGGGAATTGTCTCTAATGTTCGCCTATGGATCTAAGATTGGGCCTATCGCTAAAAATTAGCTATTTTTTTCTAGATCAACGCGTCATTGGGACGGTAATAATGGATATTTTGGTCGGTATTGAAAATTTAGTCGATTGCTGAATTTTTGTATGGGCCCATATTAGGGGCATTTAGGCCGACATTACATCAATTTCCGCTATCTTACATTTCCTCAGAACTCCTTGAAAGTTCCTGTATTTTTTTTTTCTGAGGTTTATGAGACTGCTGTGAAGTTCTTTGTGCATCCTTAAAGTACTCTAAGCTTCCTTGAATATAATGAAACATACCTTAAAATCTCAAATATTCTTTGAAGTTCTCTAAACTTTTTTGAAGAACAAGGAACATCCGAAAGTCCACGCAATTTTATTGAAAGTAATGGAACTGCTTTGAAGTTCTCTGACCTTCGCTGAAGTTCCTGCAACTTCTTAAAGTTCTTCCCTTAAAATGATTACACATTAGCTTAATGTTCATGTAACGTCACAAACGTTTCCAACATTTTCCTAAAGCCCTCGAAACTTTGCAGAAGTTTTCGAATTTCCGGTACACCTTCAAAATTCCAGAAAAATTCATGAAGGTTCTCTGATCTGTCCTGATGTTCTCAAAGCTTTGCTGAAGTTCTTCGTACGGTTCTGAAATGAATGGGCTTTAAACTTATGATATACGGAATGTTACATGCAATACCAGTTACAGAAACATACAGTGTACAGGGTGCGTGACGATTTTTTGCAGTAAATGGCATATTTGAGAAAAAATACACCAGTTAGTTATTTTAGCAATGAATTTTGTGCGATTTATTTTCTTTCGCAACATATGGAAGTTGTAAGTAAATTTATTAAAAAAAAATTGCCTTCCCTTTCGACGACTGTAGTTAGACGCTTCCGGAAACTGCAGTATGCACGTTTTAAAATATTTCGATCCATAGATGTCATCACTGCCTTGATTTTAGCTTTTAGCGACTTAAGTGTGGTGTGAGGGGTTCTATTGGTATCCCGTTGGACGACGCCCTATACAAAATAATCCAACGGTTTGATATCGGGACTGCTTGGGGGCCAAATTTCTTCCTCCCAAATTTACGAAATATTTTCCGTAAGCCATTTCTGTGCTTTATTAGCAGTATGAGCAGGTGCTCCGTCTTATCACTTTCCCAAGCCTTTTTTAATATTATACACTGTTCTTTCAGACACATTTACCGACCGAATTATTTCTTTCATGCATACTCCGGCGCGCAACAAAGCGACAACGGCTGACAGATTGCTCTCTTGTTTCGACATCTTTACGTTTACTCAACATTGTTTGTTTAAATCTTACACCTAACAGTATAAGCTATCCAGTGCTGCCAAATATATCTAAATCATGATGCACAAGCATGAGAAATTACTATTTGAAATGTACTGCAAAAATTCGTCACGCACCCTGTATCTCAAAATTGAACGTACACCTAAATGGGCAATTTTTTAAAAGACTGTGAGTAGATAGATTTTTGGAATCTTGGCTAGTGGTTGAACAACTATTAATTGATTTATCAGTATAGCTTTGGACTTTGATGGCAGAGTATGTATGATGTTTGAGTTATTTGATTAAAATCGTCGATTTTCAACTTTTTTCATAGTATGCGGATTTTATTAAAATTGACGGAATTTAAAAGATCTTTATTATGACTACAAATTAGCGAAATTTTAATATGTTTGGCTCATTGTATTTAAAGAAAATGTGAGTGTTTTTTTTAGGACATCTAGTTTATCTAAAATACCTCTAACTTCTTACACACTCATCCAAATAAGTCCAAAGCTATACCGATAACCAATAAATAGTTGATGAGTCAGCCGCCAAAAATTTAGAAATCTATCTTTTTAAGTTGCTCTCGTACAGCTGTTTTTCTAAAATGTACAGACAGCTATATGCTCAATTTTGAGATACACTGTATATAATATTTGGCAGTATTATAATTTAATTATAATAATATTTTAATTAAAGCAGCAACATTGATTTTCCTATCCATAGGAAAGCAAACTCACTATTACCGAAAGTTATTCAAATATTTACAACGTTTATTCGGTGACGTCAGCAGTTATTTCTGAGTCTTCAAAAAAATTGTGATTGTTAAAAACTTCGATTTCAAGAATTCTTTAATAATAGCATACGTTATTTAAAAAAAATAAATAAAATCCTTATAAACATAGCAAATCTTATGAAAAATATGGCCAAAACGTTCAACAAGACCTAAAAACCCTAAGGACCCGATCAGACCTGAAAGCTGTTTTTGGTACATTAGTACTTCATATCATAATTGATCAAATATTGTTAATTTTGGCTGCCAGAAACTGCAATTTTTAATTTTTGGTTAAATTTTGCATTCCAATCGCTTTACAAAGCAAATTAAGTGGTTTACAATATTGTTTTCTTCAGAAAAGATGTGTATTTTGATGATATTGAAAATATTGTTGAAAATGTCAAATCGATTAGTTAAGATGTACAATGTCCAAAAACTTAAAAACTTATTTTAAGATACCTCTGACAAAAGTCCATTAAATCTCACAAGTGGAAGAAAAGCGAAAACGACTGACACTGTGAACGCAAGGAAGGTGAGGGATTTTTTTTTCTTCTGTTCGGGATCTAACAGCACTGCGACCAGTAATTTGATCTATTGTAGTATATCCCGTGTCCTTAATTTAGTGCATGTCTTATGAAGTATTCGGTTATGATACAGTTGTCATTCTTGCCTTCATCGCAAGAAATCGACTCTAATTGAAAGGTCCCGCTATTTATACCCTTCGGAGTGTTGGAACACCCTCCAAAGGCGCGCCCCTTTATCAGTCAAAATTGGTTTCCTTAACAACAAAATTAAGGAATGACATGCAT